GTCGTCGTTTTCCCATCTTCTTGTGTGTGTTTGGTCATCATATTTTTTGTATAATTCATTGTATCGGGGGACAGGTGGCCACAGTGTATTCATACACGTTTTGGCTATTATCGAGGTCATTCCCCCCCTCCCCTCCACCAGGGCCGAATTACTGACCCCGCCTAGGATGCAACCCCCACAACGAGCTGACTAACTCCTGAGTACCAACTCACTGCAAGGTGAACAGCGGCATTAGGTGAAAGAAGATGTGCTAAATCATTTTTGTCCAACGCATAATTCGAATCCGGAATTCTCGATTGTGCGTCGAGAACGAACCCAACTGTACTTTCGGAACCCACGTCGTGTCATCAGCCTCGATATTGTGACTCCTCGTCTGCAGAAAAGTAATGTACAGAACACAGGAACACTCTCTCAGCCCCCAGGATCCACGTCAGCCTCCCAGGATCCACGTCAGCTCCTCAGAATCCACGTCAGCTCCTCAGGATCCACGTCAGCCCCCAGGATCCACGTCAGCCCCCAGGATCCACGTCAGCCCCCCAGGATCCACGTCAGCCCCCAGGATCCACGTCAGCCCCCCAGGATCCACGTCAGCCCCCCAGGATCCACGTCAGCCCCCCAGGATCCACGTCAGCCCCCCCAGGATCCACGTCAGCCCCCCAGGATCCACGTCAGCCCCCCAGGATCCACTTCAGCTCCCCAGGATCCACGTCAGCCCCCCAGGATCCACGTCAGCCCCCCAGGATCTACGTCAGCCCCCCAGGATCCACGTCAGCCCCCCCAGGATCCACGTCAGCCCCCCAGGATCCACGTCAGCCCCCCAGAATCCACTTCAGCTCCCCAGGATTCACGTCAGCCCCCCAGGATCCACGTCAGCCCCCCAGGATCCACGTCAGCCTCCCAGGATCCACGTCAGCCCCCAGGATCCACGTCAGCCCCCCAGGATCCACTTCAGCTCCCCAGGATCCACGTCAGCCCCCCAGGATCCACTTCAGCTCCCCAGGATCCACGTCAGCCCCCCAGGATCCACTTCAGCTCCCCAGGATCCACGTCAGCCCCCCAGGATCCACGTCAGCCCCCTTGGATCCACGTCAGCCCCCCAGGATCCACGTCAGCCCCCCAGGATCCACGTCAGCCCCCCAGGATCCACTTCAGCTCCCTAGGATCCACGTCAGCTCCCCAGGATCCACTTCAGCTCCCCAGGATCCACTTCAGCTCCCCAGGATCCACGTCAGCCCCCCAGGATCCACGTCAGCCCCCCAGGATCCACGTCAGCCCCCCAGGATCCACGTCAGCCCCCCAGGATCCACGTCAGCCCCCCCAGGATCCACGTCAGCCCCCCAGGATCCACGTCAGCCCCCCAGGATCCACTTCAGCTCCCTAGGATCCACGTCAGCTCCCCAGGATCCACTTCAGCTCCCCAGGATCCACGTCAGCCCCCCAGGATCCACTTCAGCTCCCCAGGATCCACGTCAGCCCCCCAGGATCCACGTCAGCCCCCCAGGATCCACGTCAGCCCCCCAGGATCCACGTCAACCCCCCAGGATCCACGTCAGCCCCCCAGGATCCACGTCAGCCCCCCAGGATCCACGTCAGCTCCGCAGGAACAATTTCAACCACCTAGGATCCACGTTAGCTCCCCAGGATCAACGTCAGCCCCCCAGGATCAACGTCAGCTCCGCAGGAACAATTTCAACCACCTAGGATCCACGTTAGCTTCCCAGGATCAACGTCAGCCTCTCCAGGATCAACGTCAGCTCCCCGGGATCCACGTTAGCTCTCCAGGATCAACGTCAGCTCCCCAGGATCAACGTCAGCCCCTCCAGGATCAACGGCAGCTCCCCAGGATCAACGTCAGCCCCTCTAGGATCAACGTCAGCTCCCCAGGATTCACGTCAGCGCCCCAGGATCCACCTCAGCCCCCCCAGGATCCACGTTAGCTCCCCAGGATCAACGTCAGCCCCTCCAGGATCAACGTCAGCCCCTCCAGGATCAACGGCAGCTCCCCAGGATCAACGTCAGCCCCCCCTGGATCAACGTCAGCCCCCCCCCCTGGATCAACGTCAGCCCCCCCCCCTGGATCAACGTTTGGAGTTTAATTTATTTTTACTCAAAAGTCAGAATCCTAGTCAATAAATTTGACGCATTGTGTGAGAATGTTAAGACTGAAAATCCCGACATCATTAGCATCAGTGAAACATGGGGCAGAGAGGACATAATAGAATGGGAATTCCATGCCCCAGGATACCATCCACCATTCAGAACAACAAGAGCAGGCAGGGTGATGCTATACGAAAAGGAGGACTTGGATACACCCACCAATGAGGAACTGAACACCATGGGATCCTCAGAGTCTGTATAATGCAATATACTAGCTCAAGATGGTAGCAAACTGACAGTGGGAGTTTGCTACAGTTCTGACACAGCAGCAGCAGAGAAAGTTGCTGATCTGCATATTGTGATCATTACAGCATCACAATCCCAAACCCTTATATTGGGGGACTTTAATCACAAGACAATAGATTAGGTCAATCTAACATCACAAGCAGAAGGAGAACAATTTCTACACCTGGAGCAGGACTCCTTACTCGTTCAACACGTGGTAGAGCCCACACGTGGTAACATCCTTCTGGACCTTGTGTTAACATCAGAAGAGGATATGTTTGATCAAATCCAGGTAGGAGAAAACCTCACCCCTCATATGATCACAATATTATATGTTGGATTACAAATATAGAAATCCACATAAAGGATCATGATGATGACTTTCTAGATTACCATCACGACTAGCAGGGAATGCAAGAGGAACTGCAAAACACCTCTTTGAGGGAGGTGATAGGTGACCATGACATGGAAGCATCATGGCAAAATTATAGGGTCACTGAAGTCATCAAAAATATGTGCCAAAAATGAGAAAGAAATGAAAGGGAACAAGATGGATGACTCATGTAGTAAAACAAGCATTGGTAACTAAGCGAAACCTCAGGAAAACGTATAAACTCACAATGAACATCATAGATTATGTGATATATAACAGGAAATTAGGTCAGTCAAAAGAAATCATGAAACGAAAACTTGTCCAAAGCATAAAGAAATATTCTAAATAGTGCTATGCATATATAAGTAGTAAAACGAAAACAAAGGACTCGGTAGGACCCATAAAAGATGACACTAACCAAGTTATAATGGACGATAAATAGGCAACAAACATACTAAATGAAAATTTTACATCAGTGTTCACCCTAGAAAGATAAGAGGACATCCCATTACCCACACAAATGTTTGAAGGAAGTGACAAGAATGAATTAAGGAATCATCAGGTCTTGAAAAAAAGAGCACACCATTGGTGTGTTTATTGATCTACGTAAGGCTTCTGACACTATTAACCACACTAACTGTCTTAAACTCCAACATTATTGAGTAAAAGGTCAATACTTCAGTACTTGCACTCTTACCTCAGTGACAATATGTTTCAGTGAACGATGCTACTTCTCCCACTCTACCAATTGATACTGGTGTTCCGCAGGGTAGTATACGTTGTCCACTCCTCTTTCTCATATATATATCAATGACCTTCCAAATAGCACACAACATTTGAAGCCAGTTCTATTTGTTGATGATAAAACCTTAATTTTCTCACATACTAACCCACTTATTCTAAATGACATGGTAAATACTGAACTTAATCAAGTCCATTTGTGGTTGACTGCTAACAAACTTACCCTTAATATCGACAAGACATTTAACATATTATTTTGTAACAAGCCCAGCAACCAAAATAATCTAGAAAATAGCAATAACCAAATTGCGAGCACAGTAGAAGGGAAGTAGTTCCATGGTGTTCATATTGAGAACAAACAAAATTTCCATTGCCATATACAATATATAACTAAAAAGGTTTCTAAAAGTGTAGGTATGCTCTCCAAAGTCAGATATTATATTCCTCACCCTGCCCTGGTTACTCTGTATTATTCACTCATTGATACATATCTCACCAATGGTATCTGTGCCTGGGGATCCACCTCCCATAATTACCTTCAATCTGTAATTACTCCCAATTAAACCCCAGTAGCATCCACTTCGAGACAACGCGACGAACGGAGCTTTCTTGCCTACGCTGCTGGAACACAAAACTATTAGCCTCCTCTACACTGCTAGAACACCAAAATGTTAGCAGCCTCCACACTGCTGGAACACCAAAATGTTAGCAGCCTCCACACTGCTGGAACACCAAAATGTTAGCAGCCTCCACACTGCTGGAACACCAAAATGTTAGCAGCCTCTACACTGCTGGAACACCAAAATGTTAGCAGCCTCCACACTGCTGGAACACCAAAATGTTAGCAGCCTCCACACTGCTGGAACACCAAAATGTTAGCAGCCTCCACACTGCTGGAACACCAAAATGTTAGCAGCCTCTACACTGCTGGAACACCAAAATGTTAGCAGCCTCTACACTGCTGGAACACCAAAATGTTAGCAGCCTCCACACTGCTGGAACACCAAAATGTTAGCAGCCTCCACACTGCTGGAACACCAAAATGTTAGCAGCCTCCACACTGCTGGAACACCAAAATGTTAGCAGCCTTCACACTGCTAGAACACAAAAATAAGAAGAAAACTACCGACAAATTTGAGAAGAAAGATGAGCTTGTGAAGCATTATGAGCATTTAATTTACGATAACTTGAAGTTTCAACATAAACAATCTTGAACAACCTTTTGACTCACCTTCCATGACTTCCGACTGAGGCAAGCAGCATCAAGGTACATATATAGATGACGTTGTCTGGTTCTTAACGTAACACTTCGTCAAACATTTGGTAGCCTTACAAAGTGTGCAAGTTTCTCCACTCCTGGTGACTTGGTTCAGTCTACTGTCTGTCTGAGGTCAGTCGGAGAGGTCACCAAGGTAGAGGTAAACACAGCTTATACAAATACAGTCCTCAACCTTCAGCTTAATAGTTACAAATTAAGAGGAAAAGTTTGAATGGTATAAGTTACCTTGGTGGAGCCAGGCTTCATCATTCTCCAACTGAGGCTCCTCCTCATCCTCCTCAGAGTCATCCTCCTCCAGGTCGCTTGTTTTAAATATGGCGCTCATCAGCAAAGATATCAGAATAATCTGTTTAAACAAAACCACATGTTACACACAGCCACCGTATGCTTCACTAAATATCATATTCAAATATGTAAATTATAGACCATATGTATTCGCGTAATTCACATTGTTTCGCGTAAGTTCGGTACTTCTCTTGGAGAAAATTAAAATGATTAAAATGGACAAATTCTTGCAGATTAGTGATATCAACTTGTGCGAGTGAAGGAAAATACCAGGTTGAGAGCACACAAAAATAATAATGTTTATTCAGGTAAAAGTACATATATACATAATGAGTTTTAAACAGAATGTTGTATATCTAGATAGAGCTGGTGTATATACTATGACTAAAGCCACTAATACGCACAGCGTTTCGGGGAGAAACCTTTCTGTTTCAGTTTCATTCACAGTTTCTGAGAATGATGGTCTCTCTATGTGAGAAGAAAACCTCCACGTCAGTAACGTTTTCTCTCAATTTCGTGTACTTTCTCTCTATCGTTGTCACCAATGCAACTGTTACGAACCCGACTCTACCATCGGAGCACGGAGCAGCGACGTCAACGCCATCTGTGAGTCCGCTCCCGAAACCCCCCACAACATGGACAACGCCATCTAGTGATGACGGGAATATACCGGCAAGAGGCGCTAGATTCCTGTCCTAGTCGGCTCGTGAGGTAGCTGGTGCTGACCTCTAGTGAGGTGGTATTTAGAGAAGCAGCGCCCTCTATCATAAGCGGAGTTGGATGTATGTGTCTACGTCAGTAAGTGATGTTTCCTAGTGGTCGCATGTATTGTCCCAGTGTACTGATGTGTCTGTATTCACAGAGTCAACATAGGGCTGCTGTGATACAAGGAGAGTCAGTCTACCAAAAGGCAGCCAAGGTCTCTACACCAGCCTGCTTTAAGGAAGCAGTGTGCCGCTGCCGGAAGAGAACTGTGAAGTGTTCTGTTGTCTGCCTGTGGAGTGGCAGTGACGGGATTCGCCGTACCCGGGGCTGGCTGATAGAAGAGACAACTGACTAATGTGCGGAAAGAGGAGAGTAACCAGCGAGTTACATAAAGCTCCTGCCTAGGGCTCGTAACCCTAGTATTCGCTCGTGAAGTGGCCCCAACAGCGCGAGGACGCTTGGTATCTGCCAGCACCAAGCTGGACGGTGATTGTGGGCCTTCACGAAGAGGCACTTAGTGGGATTGGGGTTTGGCTGGCCCGTGGCCAGGGTAGACTCATTGTTGTTTTCTGGTACCTGCTGGAGGGTAGTACCACGGATGAGGAAACACGGTACCAGACTTCATCGATTGAGCTTCGCTGAGTGTTTAATGTCTTCTGAGACGTTGGTGTACATATAGTGTAGTAATACTTCCTATTAAGAATAATTATAATTATATATATATATGTATATATATATATATATATATATATATATATATATATATATATATATATATATATATATATATATATATAAACTGAAAACTCACAACCCCGAAGTGACTCGAACCCATACTCCCAGAAGCAACGCAACTGGTATGTACAAGACGCCTTAATCCACTTGACCATCACGACCGGACATAATGAGGTGATAGCCGAGGCTATTTGAACCACCCCACCGCCGGCACTCGGATAGTAATCTTGGGCATAGCATTTTACCAAATCACCTCATTCTTTGGGGCACACGTGAGGAACACAAATGCGAACAAGCCTGAATGGTCCCCAGGACAATATGCAACTGAAAACTCACACCCCAGAAGTGACTCGAACCCATACTCCCAGAAGCAACGCAACTGGTATGTACAAGACGCCTTAATCCACTTGACCATCACGACCGGACATAATGAGGTGATAGCCGAGGCTATTTGAACCACCCCACCGCCGGCAAGATTACTATCCGAGTGCCGGCGGTGGGGTGGTTCAAATAGCCTCGGCTATCACCTCATTATGTCCGGTCGTGATGGTCAAGTGGATTAAGGCGTCTTGTACATACCAGTTGCGTTGCTTCTGGGAGTATGGGTTCGAGTCACTTCTGGGGTGTGAGTTTTCAGTTGCATATTGTCCTGGGGACCATTCACGCTTGTTCGCATATATATATATATATATATATATATATATATATATATATATATATATATATATAATATAATATATATTATATATATGGTGATGGGAAAGTAATTATATATTGATAAAGTGATGAACTGTTGTATTTTATGTACCTCCTCCTCTTGGTTTACTTGCATTACTGAGCTCACCCCTTGAAAGCCACTACTAACTTGGGGCCGGATACCAAAACTTTCGTACCACCAGAAAAGAACCTGGTTGCGACCCATTGTGGCCGTAACAGCAACCTATTACAGGTCTAATATTTACATTTGTATGTAACAGCCAGAACCACACTACTTGGCCTAGTTTGAGCAAATTTCTATATAAACTCATATAAAAAAAATCATATATAATAATTGAAAGCTTTATCATTCCATATTAAAAAAATGAAAAATATATCATTTCAGGAAAACTCTGCTTGTTACGTAACTTGGCCTATTGTACGATATACATACATATATACATACATGGCAACAGGAAAAAGTGAGTAACTGTGAGGGGGGGAGACAGCAGAATGGCGAGATGTCACCAGCGAAGTCCCACAGGGATCTGTACTTGGGCCCATCCTGTTTCTAATATATGTAAACAATTTTCCAGAGGGTATAGATTTATTCCTCTCAATGTTTGCTGATGATGCAAAAGTTATGAGAAGAATCAAGACAGAGGAAGATAGACAGAGACTACAGGACGACCTGAACAAACTGGAGGAATGGTCTAGAAAATGGCTACTAAAGTTCAATTCAGGAAAGTGTAAAGTAATGAAATTAATCGAAGGAACCAGAAGGCTGAACACAAGGTACCAACTGGGAGGTGAAATCCTGTAAGAGTCAAATAGAGAGGAAAGATCTGGGGGTTGATATCACAACGAACCTGTCTCCAGAGGCCCACATCATCAAAAGAATATCATCCGTGGCATATGCTAGGTTGGCCAACATAAGAACTGCCTTTAGAAATTTGTGTAAGGAATCGTTTAGGCACCTGTATACCATTTATGTCAGACCAATGCTGGAATATGCAGCTCCAGCATGGAGTCAATACCTAGTTAATCACAAGACAAAGTTAGAGAAGATTTAACGGTATGCCACCAGGCTCATTCCGGGTCTGAGAGGTATGAGCAACGAGGAAAGGCTAAAGGAGCTGAACCTCACATCCCTGGAAAATAGAAGAGTAAGGGAAGACATGATAACCACCTACAAAATTCCCAGAGGAATTGACAGGGTGGACAAAGACAAACTCTTTAGCACGGATGAAACACGAACAAGGGGGCACAGGTGGAAACTTAGTACCCAGATGAGCTACAGGGACATTAGAAATATTTTTTTCATTGTCAGAGTAGTTAACGAATACAGTGCATTAAATAATGAAGTGGTGAAGGCTGACTCCATACAGTTTAAAATGTAGATATGATAGAGCCCAGTAGGCTCAGGAATCTGTACACCAGTTGAGTGACAGTTGAGAGGCATACACATATACATACATACATACATACATGTAAACATACATGCAAACATACATGCAAACATACATCTTGAGGTTATCTTGAGATGATTTCGGGGCTTTTGTGTCCCCGCGGCCCGGTCCTCGACCAGGCCTCCACCCCCAGGAAGCAGCCCGTGACAGCTGACTAACACTCAGGTACCTATTTTACTGCTAGGTAACAGGGGCATAGGGTAAAAGAAACTCTGCCCAATGTTTCTCGCCGGCGCCTGGGATCGAACCCAGGACCACAGGATCACAAGCCCAGTGTGCTGTCCGCTCGGCCGACCGGGTCCCCTACATACATGCAAACTACATACATACATGCATACATACATCCATTGCACACATACATCCATTCATACGTATATGCACACATACATACATAATGCATATATACATACACATACATACTGTTATGACCCCATGTAGCCTGAGTGGAACGAGTCTACACTAGTGAGAGTTATTCTGCGTCTGGACTTGATTGAGAGGTCAGAGGAAAGATGTATATATTAAATATATAATAAACGTCAGTGAATAATTTAAAAGTATGGGAAGAGGCTGAGCATTTAAATAAGTGACATGAAATGAGATGTCCATACGTTGGTGACATGACGTGAGGCTAGCAGGACGTCATGACCTTACTTGAGCTACGGCTGTCGTCAGAGGTGGATGTAATTTGTTGATTCTCCCGGAATAAGGAAGAATATAGTTCCCTGTGTTGGTGCTGGATTTAAGACTACTTGTCTGCAAGTGTGAGGAAGCTGTTGGGGACACAGAGAAATAGTACACTATTTCTCTGTGATTTTGATAATTAGAGGCGGCCTGGAAGTGAGTGTTTGGCCGTGCCTTTGTGGAACTAATTGTGTTGCTTCTTCAAGAGGAAGGAAGTCAACAGGCGTTTCTGTAATGGAGCCTGCTGGGAGACGTTTTGAACTCAAGTCGTGGACTGGAGGAAGCCCTGTGAAGCAGTCCCGAAGCATTTTTGTGGGCGGCCTATAGAGCGCCACTTTTGAACTCCAGTGAGTGAGCGTCCTCACATCAGCGAATTCTGCGGTAGGCTCATATAACAGTTGTTAAAGTGGTTGCTTGTGTTTGATCCGTGCCCAGCGATCATGGCAAGTGTTTATGTATTTAGTACATATACTTTATTAAGGCAGTGAACTAAAATAAGAGAGTATATATAGATAAGAGAACATGCTAGAGGGAGCGGCGGTACGTCCGCCCTCACCGAAGAGTGGAAGACTGGGGGAGGAAGCCCTCAGTTAATTTAAATTCCTTAATGGAATTTCAGGTTTGTTTGGGAAAGAGTTCGCAAAGACTTCTTCGAGGTTAGAGAAAAAGTTGGTGGAGGAACTTCGAGGCTAGAGAAGAAATTAATGCAGGTGCTTCGAGGCTGGAGAATAAGTGAATGCTGAACTCTGTCGTAAAGCAGAACTCCATAGTGGGGAGTTTACTTCACGCAGTGTAGAGGAACTACACGTGTCTCTGGGGAATCAGTGGTGAAGCGTCACTGATGTTGGATTAGGACTTCATAGTGCAGCAGATTGGGAGATCTGCAGAAGTGCCCTTTCTGATATTTCGGGGGACCTAGAGATATATCTATATTGGTAGTGAGCCTCTGGGAGCAGAACAGAGGTTCATGATGGACACACATGCTGGTATAAGGGGAGTGCTTGAATGCTTTTTGGCATGTAAGATGCAGTGTAAGGTGAGAGATTTCTTCATTTGTTGGGGGATACTCATGTAGATGTTTCTGGTGCTTCAGCCCCAAACTGAGTTTCATATACCTTTAGGGCTGAGGGTACAGTATTGTTGTGACAGAATTTCAGCCCCATTGAGTGAGGGAATAGTAAGTGGTAAGCCAAGATTTGAGCAACCACTAAATATGGACAGTTAGTGAAGCCAGGATATGATATCGGAATGCTATCGGGGTTATTGCAGGATGGAGTGTGGTATCATAATGGTCTATTTTATATGTTATGTATTATGTATGTCTTCTTTGTATATTAAATGTATATGTTAGCTGGCTTTTGCTCTTGTCCTGACCAGGTTTCCCAGAAAGTGGGAGAGAGAGAAGGATAGGGTCACGGCTGTGGATAGGGTGGCAGAAGATACTAATTCACAAAAAGGGGATTTTGGAGATTATTCCAAAGAAGGAGAGAGTGGGGAGTCACGTCGGCTCGAGTAGTGTGTGTACACAAGACAACGAGGCCAGTGTTGGAGCTGCACCCCTGAATATGTGACGCTGAACCCCTCTCCAAGATCAAGAGGTGTACAGGGTGATCTCTTAGGTAAATTACAAGCACTCCAGTCTCCATTGCTGGTTGACCGACGGTAGTGGGAGTGTGGCTGCTGAGGCCGATTGTTTGTTCTGTCAGGGAGTGGTTAGGGATGTTGTCCGCCTGTACGCCTGTAACAGTCTGCAGCAGCAACCACAGCTCTCTTTTGGAGGTTTAAATCCCATAATCTCCAACCCCCTCAGAGCAGAACAATACATACATACATGCATACATACATACATACATACATGCATACATGCATACATACATACATGCATGCATACATACATACATACATACATACATACATACATACATACATGCATACATGCATACATACATACACACATGCATACATTTGACGACGCCAAAATTATGAGAAGGATTAAGACAGAGGAGGACAGCTTGAGGCTTCAAGAAGACCTGGACAAGCTGCAGGAATGGTCGAACAAATGGCTGTTAGAGTTTAATCCAAGCAAATGTAATGTAATGAAGATAGGGGTAGGAAGCAGGAGACCAGATACAAGGTATCACTTGGGAGAGGAAATACTTCAAGAGTCCGAGAGAGAGAAAGACCTGGGGGTTGATATCACGCCAGACCTGTCCCCTGATGCTCACATCAAGAGGATAACAGCAGCAGCATATGCCAGGTTGGCTAACATAAGAACGGCCTTTAGAAACTTGTGTAAGGAATCTTTCAGAACATTATATACCACATATGTCAGACCAATCCTGGAGTATGCGGCACCAGCATGGAGTCCATATCTAGTCAAGCATAAGACTAAAATGGAAAAGGTTCAAAGGTTTGCCACCAGACTAGTACCCGAGCTGAGAAGTATGAGCTACGAGGAGAGACTACGGGAATTAAACCTCACTTCGTTGGAAGACAGAAGAGTTAGGGGGGACATGATCACCACATTCAAGATCCTCAAGGGAATTGACAGGGTTGATAAAGACAGGCTGTTTAACACAAGGGGCACACGCACTAGGGGACACAGGTGGAAACTGAGTGCCCAAATGAGCCACAGAGATATTAGAAAGAACTTTTTTAGTGTCAGAGTGGTTGACAAATGGAATGCATTAGGAAGTGATGTGGTGGAGGCTGACTCCATACACAGTTTCAAGTGTAGATATGAGAGAGCCCAATAGGCTCAGGAACCTGTACACCTGTTGATTGACAGTTGAGAGGCGGGACCAAAGAGCCAGAGCTCAACCCCCGCAAGCACAACTAGGTGAGTACATACATACATACATACATACATACATACATACATACATACATACATACATACATACATACATACATACATACATATATGCACATACATACATACATACATACATACATACATACATACATACATACATACATACATACATACATACATACATACATACATACATATATGCACATACATACCTGCATATATACACATATGCATACATACATACATGCATACATACACTGCAGATTTTATAGAACCCAGTAGGCTCAAGAATCTGTAAACCAGTTGATTGACAGTTGAGAGGCGAGACCAAAGAGCCAAAGCTCAACCCCCACAAACACAACTAGATGAGTACATACATACATAGTAAATGAATACAAGAAGAGAGAAAATTTCATAAGATCTTTGACCAGAACATACCAGTTCCAGGAAGTAATGGCCCTGAAGAAATAGTTATCCACCTATCTCTTATCTAACATCAGAAGGAGCCATTAAAAGAATTCGAACCCACTCACTAGATCAAGCTAGTGCACAAGACTGCCCCACCACGACATGGTCAAAAGACCACAATGGTGTGGTGGTCTTGGGCGCCAGCTTAGGAGTACCAAATGAGCGAGATCGAATCCCCCTCATGGCTCCTACTAATGTTATTATTAATACATCACGCTAATGTGATTTCAATGTACAACCAGCAGCTGGTCCTTCCTTGTATACAACCAAGAGCCAGATGCCACTTGGTGCTCTCCCCCACAACCCTGGCCGGATAATGCTCTCCCCACAACCCTGGCCAGATAATGCTCTCCCCACAACCCTGGCCGGATAATGCTCTCCCCACAACCCTGGCCGGATAATGCTCTCCCCACAACCCTGGCCAGATAATGCTCTCCCCACAACCCTGGCCGGATAATGCTCTCCCCACAACCCTGGCCGGATAATGCTCTCCCCACAACCCTGGCCGGATAATGCTCTTCCCACAATCCTGGCAGGATAATGCTCTCCTCACAACCCTCGCTGGATAATGCTCTCTCCACAATCCTGGCCGGATAATGCTCTCCCCACAACCCTGGCCGGATAATGCTCTTCCCACAATCCTGGCCAGATAATGCTCTCCCCACAACCCTGGCCGGATAATGCTCTCCCCACAATCCTGGCCAGATAATGCTCTCCCCACAACCCTGGTCGGATAATGCTCTCCCCACAACCCTGGCCGGATAATGCTCTCCCCACAATCCTGGCAGGATAATGCTCTCCTCACAACCCTCGCTGGATAATGCTCTCTCCACAATCCTGGCCGGATAATGCTCTCCTGACATCACTAGCCGGATAATGCTCTCCTCACAACCCTGGTCGGATAATGCTATCCTCACAACCCTGGCCGGATAATGCTCTCCCCACAACCCTGGCCGGATAATGCTCTCCTGACATCACTAGCCGGATAATACTCTCCTCATAACCCTGGCCGGATAATACTCTCTCCACAACCCTGGCCGGATAATGCTCTCCTCACAACCCTGACCGGATAATGTTCTCCTCACAACCCTGGCCGTATAATGCTCTCCTCACATCCCTGGCCGGATAATGCTCTCCTCACAACCCTAACCGGATAATGCTCTCCTCACAACCCTGGCCGGATAATGCTCTACCCACAACCCTGGCCGGATAATACTCTACCCACAACCCCTGGCTGATTAATGCTCTCCTACAACCCTGGCCGGATAATGCTCCCTTCACAACCCTGGCCGGATAATGCTCTACCCACAACCCTGGCCGGATAATGCTCTCTCCACAATCCTGGCCGGATAATGCTCTCCACAACCTTGGCCGGATAATGCTCTCTCTACAACCTTGGCCGGATAATGCTCTACCCACAACCTTGGCTGGATAATGCTCTCTCCACAACCCTGGCCGGATAATGCTTGCCTAACAACCCTGGCCGGATAATGCTCGCCTAACAACCCTGGTCGGATAATGCTCTCCTCACAACCCTAGCTGGATAATGCTCTCCTCTCAACCCTGGCCAGATAATGCTCCCCTCACAACCCTGGCCGGATAATGCTCTCCTCACAACCCTGGCCGGATAATGCTCTCTTCACAACCCTGGACGGATAATGCTCTCTTCACAACCCTGGCCGGATAATGCTCTCCACAACCCTGGCCGGATAATGCTCTCCTCACAACCCTGGCCGTATAATGCTCTCCTCACAACCCTGGCCGGATAATGCTCTCTTCACAACCCTGGCCGGATAATGCTCTCCTCACAACCCTGGCCGGTTAATGCTCTCCTCACACCCTGGCCGGATAATGCTCTCTTCACAACCCTGGCCGGATAATGCTCTCCTCACAACCCTGGCCGGATAATGCTCTCCTCACAACCCTGGCCGGATAATGCTCTCTTCACAACCCTGGCCGGATAATGCTCTCCTCACAACCCTGGCCGGATAATGCTCTCCTCACAACCCTGGCCGGATAATGCTCTCTTCACAACCCTGGCCGGATAATGCTCTCCTCAAAACCCTGGCCGGATAATGCTCTCCTCACAACCCTGGCCGGATAATGCTCTCTTCACAACCCTGGCCGGATAATGCTCTCTAGAGGCAATTCTTGCCACACGAGGGATTAAGGGATGAGGGACTTAGCTTCCCCCGTGGCGCATGGGTCAGACACTCGCCAGACGCTTCGCGAGCGCTTAGCCTGGGTTCGTATCCTAGCCGGAGAGAATTGACTGAGAATCCTTAAATGTAGTCTCTGTTCACCCAGCAGTGAATGGATCATGTTCCGGGAAAAATTAGGATTAAGGACCTGCCCGAAATTACCTTTATTGGTTCGTGGAGGAGAATTTCCGAGAAGAAGGAGATGACGAGCGCGGAGATCCACTTGGTAGTCTTCTCGTTGCCGAAGGTGATGCCGTACATCAGCAGGAAGAAGACGCCCACACCAATACAGGCGATGGCCAAGAGCCAGGCGATCACTCTGAACCCCCAGGGAAGTGTGCAGCTCTTCTCTCTGTAGGAGCACCAGTACATATTAACCCTTCTCTCTGTAGGAGCACCAGTACATATTAACCCTTCTCTCTGTAGGAGCACCAGTACATATTAACCCCTTCTCTCTGTAGGAGCACCAGTACATATTAACCCTTCTCTCTGTAGGAGCACCAATACATATTAACCCTTCTCTCTGTGGGAGCACCAGTACATATTAACCCTTCTCTTTGTAGGAGCACCAGTACATATTAACCCTTCTCTCTGTAGGAGCACCAGTACATATTAACCCTTCTCTCTGTAGGAGCACCAGTACATATTAACCCTTCTCTCTGTAGGAGCACCAGTTCATATTAACCCCTTCTCTCTGTAGGAGCACCAGTTCATATTAACCCCTTCTCTCTGTAGGAGCACCAGTTCATATTAACCCCTTCTCTCTGTAGGAGCACCAGTACATATTAACCCTTCTCTCTGTGGGAGCACCAGTACATATTAACCCTTCTCTCTGTGGGAGCACCAGTACATATTAACCCTTCTCTCTGTAGGAGCACCAGTACATATTAACCCTTCTCTCTGTGGGAGCACCAGTACATATTAACCCTTCTCTCTGTAGGAGCACCAGAACATATTAACCCTTCTCTCTGTGGGAGCACCAGTACATATTAACCCTTCTCTCTGTAGGAGCACCAGTACATATTAACCATTCTCTCTGTAGGAGCACCAGTACATATTAACCATTCTCTCTGTAGGAGCACCAGTACATATTAACCCTTCTCTCTGTAGGAGCACCAGTACATATTAACCCTTCTCTCTGTAGGAGCACCAGTACATATTAACCATTCTCTCTGTAGGAGCACCAGTACATATTAACCATTCTCTCTGTAGGAGCACCAGTACATATTAACCCTTCTCTCTGTAGGAGCACCAGTACATATTAACCCCTTCTATCTGTAGATGCACCAGTACATATTAACCCGTCTCTCTGTAGGAGCACCTGTACATATTAAACATTCTCTCTGTAGGAGCACCAGTACATATTAACCCTTCTCTCTGTAGGAGCACCAGTACATATTAACCCTTCTCTCTGTAGGAGCACCAGTACATATTAACCATTCTCTCTGTAGGAGAACCGCTACGTAACATCTGTTTGCCGCAGCTGTTACGCGATGACTTTGCTGTTAACATGCATGAAATGTGTTTAAAAAAGCAGTCCTTTATAGACTTAAATCAATGAAAGAAGATACTTGCTTTTTCTCCTCGTGCATATTCTCTTCTGTTGAATCAGGGGAGTTTTCAGGAGAGTCAGGTGAGTCGTGAGGTGAATCAGGAACCTTTAATGGCGAAGCAGGCAGTTTTTTGGGTGAGCGAGGTGGTTGGGGAGCGGGAGGAGATGACTGAGCACTGCTGCCACTTTTCAAGCCTTTTGATAATCCTGCATAAAATATACTTTTTTAATGAGAAATTTGCAAGTTTGATAACACATTGAGTGACAGTATGTCAGAGAATGACAAGCTTTGACAGTTTATCACACTTTGATATTATTTGACAGTGTATCACAGCATGACATTATGATAAGATCTGACAGTTTTTCACAGCATGACATTATGACAAGATATGACAGTTTATCACAGTATGACAAGATCTGAGAGTTTATCACAGTATGACAAGAGCTGACAGTTTATCACAGTATGACTAGAGTTGATAGTTTGTCACAGTATGACAAGAGCTGACAGTTTACCACAGTGTGACAAGATCTGACAGTTATCATGACATGGCAGCAAGAAACTGTGACATTGTAAGGCAGAAGTATGACAAGGAGATAGGACAGTATATCTTCACGACATGGAAACAAGTATATGAAAGTTGTGTAAGTCATTTTGTTATTGTGTTAGTCACTTTGTTATTGGTTGTGTTAGTCACTTTGTTATTGGTTGTGTTAGTCACTTTGTTATTGGTTGTGTAAGTCACTTTGTTATTGGTTGTGTAAGTCACTTTGTTATTGGTTGTTTAAGTCACTCTATTACTAGTTGTGTAAGTCAATTTGTTATTAGTGGTGTAAGTCACTTTGGTGCAAGCCACTTTGTAATTGTGTTAGTCACTTTGTTATTGGTTGTGTTAGTCACTTTGTTATTGGTTGTGTTAGTCACTTTGTTATTGGTTGTGTTAGTCACTTTGTTATTGGTTGTGTTAGTCACTTTGTTATTGGTTGTGTTAGTCACTTTGTTATTGGTTGTGTTAGTCACTTTGTTATTGGTTGTGTTAGTCACTTTGTTATTGGTTGTGTTAGTCACTTTGTTATAGATTGTGTAAGTCACTTTGTTATTGGTTGTGTTAGTCACTATGTTATTAGTGGTGTACGTAACTTTTGTGCAAGACACTTTGTAATTGTGTAAGTTCCAACAAGACTCGGTGGTCCTCTTAGACTCCCCAACCATAACAACACGACTCACTGGTCCTCTCGAGAGCGAGGTTAATGCGGGACTTCCGCAGCTTCCTGGGTCGAGCCTTGCGGAAGAAGTAGACCATCAGCATAGTGGGCGGGAAGACGATCAGGTTACACATCAGACCGATACACACCTGAGGAAGACGATCAGGTTACTCACAGACCGATACACACCTGAGGAAGACGATCAGGTTACTCACAGACTGATACACACCTGAAGAACTTTGCGAGTACTATTTGGTCAGGAGCAATGATGGTGTTGGGCCTTATACCCGTACACTTCTATTATTGTTCCCAATGATATGAGAGGTGACGATGGTACGACTGATGATACGACTGATGGGACAACTGATGGGGCAATTGATTGGCCAAAGGACGGTACAGTATAACAGGGCATCTGATCATACAACTGATGGGACTGATAACAGAACTAATGATATAACTGATGGTATAAATGATGGGGCAACTGATGGTACAACTGACGGGGGCAAATGATGTAACAACTGAAGGGGCAATTGATGTTATATGAGAGGGGCATCTGATATTACAACTGATGGGGCATCTGATATTACAACTGATGGGGAAACTGATGATACAACTGATGGGGCAACTGATGATACAACTGATGGGGCATCTGATATTACAACTGATGGGGCAACTGATGATACAACTGATGGGGCAACTGATATTACAACTGATGGGGAAACTGATGATACAACTGATGGGGCAACTGATGATACAACTGATGGGGCATCTGATGATACAACTGATGGGGCATCTGATGATACAACTGATGGGGCATCAGATGATACAACTGATGGGGCAACTGATGATACAACTGATGGGGCATCTGATGATACAACTGATGGGGCATCTGATGATACAACTGATGGGGCATCAGATGATACAACTGATGGGGCAACTGATATTACAACTGATGGGGCATCTGATATTACAACTGATGGGGAAACTGATGATACAACTGATGGGGAAACTGATGATACAACTGATGGGGCATCTGATGATACAACTGATGGGGCAACTGATGATACAACTGATGGGGCAACTGATGATACAACTGATGGGGTATCTGATGATACAACTGATGGGGCATCTGATGATACAACTGATGGGGCATCAGATGATACAACTGATGGGGCATCTGATATTACAACTGATGGGGTAACTGATGATACAACTGATGGGGCATCAGATGATACAACTGATGGGGCATCTGATATTACAACTGATGGGGCAACTGATGATACAACTGATGGGGCAACTGATGATACAACTGATGGGGCATCTGATATTACAACTGATGGGGCATCTGATATTACAACTGATGGGGCATCAGATGATACAACTGATGGGGCATCTGATATTACAACTGATGGGGCAACTGATGATACAACTGATGGGGCATCTGATGATACAACTGATGGGGCATCTGATATTACAGCTGATGGGGCAACTGATGATACAACTGATGGGGAAACTGATGATACAACTGATGGGGCAACTGATGATTCAACTGATGGGGAAACTGATGATACAACTGATGGGGCAACTGATGATACAACTGATGGGGAAACTGATGATACAACTGATGGGGCAACTGATGATACAACTGATGGGGCAACTGATGATACAACTGATGGGGAAACTGATGATACAACTGATGGGGCAACTAATGTTCCAAGTGATGGGCCAACTGATGGGGCGATTGATAGGGAAACTGATGGGTTAACTGATGATGCAACTGATGATTCAACTGATGGGACAACTGATGTTACAAGTGATGAGGTCTGATGGGGTAACTGATAATGAAAATGTTGATACAACTGATGGGGCCACTGATGATACAAATGATGGGGCAACTGATGATACAACTGATGGGGCATCTGATGATACAACTGATGGGGCATCTGATGATACAACTGATGGGGCATCAGATGATACAACTGATGGGGCATCTGATATTACAACTGATGGGGCAACTGATGATACAACTGATGGGGAAACTGATGATACAACTGATGGGGCAACTGATGGGGCAACTGATGATACAACTGATGGGGAAACTGATGATACAACTGATGGGGCAACTGATGATACAACTGATGGGGCATCTGATGATACAACTGATGGGGCATCTGATATTACAACTGATGGGGCAACTGATGATACAACTGATGGGGAAACTGATGATACAACTGATGGGGCAACTGATGATACAACTGATGGGGAAACTGATGATACAACTGATGGGGCAACTGATGATACAACTGATGGGGAAACTGATGATACAACTGATGGGGCAACTAATGTTCCAAGTGATGGGCCAACTGATGATACAACTGATGGGGCAACTGATGATACAACTGATGGGGAAACTGATGATACAACTGATGGGGCAACTAATGTTCCAAGTGATGGGCCAACTGATGATACAACTGATGGGGCAACTGATGATACAACTGATGGGGAAACTGATGATACAACTGATGGGGCAACTGATGATACAACTGATGGGGCAACTGATGATACAACTGATGGGGAAACTGATGATACAACTGATGGGGCAACTAATGTTCCAAGTGATGGGCCAACTGATGATACAACTGATGGGGCAACTGATGATACAACTGATGGGGAAACTGATGATACAACTGATGGGGCAACTAATGTTCCAAGTGATGGGCCAACTGATGATACAACTGATGGGGCAACTGATGATACAACTGATGGGGAAACTGATGATACAACTGATGGGGCAACTGATGATACAACTGATGGGGCAACTGATGATACAACTGATGGGGCAACTGATGTTCCAAGTGATGGGCCAACTGATGGGGCGATTGATAGGGAAACTGATGGGTTAACTGATGATGCAACTGATGATTCAACTGACGGGACAACTGATGTTACAAGTGATGAGGTCTGATGGGGTAACTGATAATGAAAATGTTGATACAACTGATGGGGCCACTGATGATACAAATGATGGGGCAACTGATGGCACAATTGATGAGGCAACTAATGATACAACTGATGGGGCGATTGATAGAGTAACTGATGGAGTAACTGTTGATACAACTGATGGGACAACAGACCATTAACTATTGTGGCTGTAACGGTGCCCTGGCGCTGGAGTAAAGCTCATTAGGGAGTAGTGGACTATACACTGTTCCCTACACCAGGTGGCACTGTGAGGGTCTGAGAGAGTAGTGGACTATACACTGTTCCCTACACCAGGTGGCACTGTGAGGGTCTGAGAGAGTAGTGGACTACACACTGTTCACTACACCAGGTGGCACTGTGAGGGTCTGAGAGAGTAGTGGACTACACACTGTTCACTACACCAGGTGGCACTGTGAGGGTCTGAGAGAGTAGTGGACTACACACTGTTCCCTACACCAGCTGGCACTGTGAGGGTCTGAGAGAGTAGTGGACTACACACTGTTCCCTACACCAGCTGGCACTGTGAGGGTCTGAGAGAGTAGTGGACTACACACTGTTCCCTACACCAGCTGGCACTGTGAGGGTCTGAGAGAGTAGTGGACTACACACTGTTCCCTACACCAGCTGGCACTGTGAGGGTCTGAGAGAGTAGTGGACTACACACTGTTCCCTACACCAGCTGGCACTGTGAGGGTCTGAGAGAGTAGTGGACTACACACTGTTCCCTACACCAGCTGGCACTGTGAGGGTCTGAGAGAGTAGTGGACTACACACTGTTCCCTACACCAGCTGGCACTGTGAGGGTCTGAGAGAGTAGTGGACTACACACTGTTCCCTACACCAGCTGGCACTGTGAGGGTCTGAGAGAGTAGTGGACTACACACTGTTCCCTACACCAGCTGGCACTGTGAGGGTCTGAGAGAGTAGTGGACTACACACTGTTCTCTACACCAGCTAGCACTGTGAGGGACTGAGAGAGTAGTGGACTACACACTGTTCTCTATGCCAGCTGGCACTGTGAGGGTCTGAGAGAGTAGTGGACTACACACTGTTCTCTACACCAGCTGGCACTGTGAGGGTCTGAGAGAGTAGTGGACTACACACTGTTCTCTACACCAGCTGGCACTGTGAGGGCCTGAGAGAGTAGTGGACTACACACTGTTCCTTACACCAGCTGGCACTGTGAGGGCCTGAGAGAGTAGTGGACTACACACTGTTCACTACACCAGCTGGCACTGTGAGGGCCTGAGAGAGTAGTGGACTATACACTGTTCACTACACCAGCTGGCACTGTGAGGGTCTGAGAGAGTAGTGGACTATACACTGTTCTCTACACCAGCTGGCACTGTGAGGGTCTGAGAGAGTAGTGGACTATACACTGTTCACTACACCATCTGGCACTGTGAGGGTCTGAGAGAGTAGTGGACTATACACTGTTCACTACACCAGCTGGCACTGTGAGGGTCTGAGAGAGTAGTGGACTATACACTGTTCACTACACCATCTGGCACTGTGAGGGTCTGAGAGAGTAGTGGACTATACACTGTTCACTACACCATCTGGCACTGTGAGGGTCTGAGAGAGTAGTGGACTATACACTGTTCACTACACCAGCTGGCACTGTGAGGGTCTGAGAGAGTCATGACCAATTTTATAATCTGTGGAAGCACATCTTCTCAGAACTCCAGAGTTCACAACAGTACACTTAGCGTGTACTTCAGAGTAATGTACTTTGTATTCCTAAGTACTAAACCTACTCCGGAATGACCAGTAATACCTTGCTCTCAGCTCGTAACCCACCTCCTCAGGGGTCATGTTGAAGGGTCCCACGTGGAGTCCTCCAGACGCGGGCTTCTCCGGCTCCTTCTCATACCACATGGCCTCCACCAGCATCTTGAGGTACAGCACAGCGAAACAACATGCCACCCTCTGACACCTGCCAAGACACAGATTACATTGCTTTAAGTCCTATATTTCAGAAGCATTATGTCATAACATTATTATTAAAACAAGTTCCCGGATGAAACCTACATTCTTTATCGAGGTGCTGTAAACAATGCTCTAAGCATTATTAAGGTGCTGTAAATAATGTTCTAAACATTATCAAGGAGTTGTAAAGAACAATCTAAACATTATCAAGGTGTTGTAAACAATGTCCTAAACATTATCAAGGTGCTGTAAACAATGTCCTAAACATTATCAAGGTGCTGTAAACAATGTCCTAAACATTATCAAGGTGCTGTAAACAATGTCCTAAACATTATCAAGGTGCTGTAAACAATGTCCTAAACATTATCAAGGTGCTGTAAACAATGTCCTAAACATTATCAAGGTGCTGTAAACAATATTCTGTAAACACACAGGGAGAGGACATTTGGACAGGCAGATTTGTAAACCTATGGGGAACTTAGGAAATTCTTTAAATAATTTGACTGGAAAAACTTGTGGCTCCGCAAGAAAAAAATGAGATATGTCTAATTCTGACAACTTTACGATGAAGTCACACAAACATTCGTACCAAAATATACATGCATGACCAGAAAACAGGACTGGTTCAACAGAAATTGTGAGACAGCCAAAGAGGAAAAGACAAGAAAATGGGTACAATATAGGAAGCGGTCTATCCCACAAACATACCAGCACCACAAGCAAGCAAGAAACAATTACACAGCAGTGAGGAGAGAGGCAGAAAGGAATTTTGAGAAAGGAATAGCGAGTAAATGTAAAACAGATTCAGGTGTATTCTATAAATTCATTAAAAGCAAGCTGCTTGTAAAGGATAACATCCCGAAATTGAAAATGGGGAAAAGGTTCACAGAGAATAAAAAGGAAATGTGTGAAACACTGAATGAACCATTCCAAAGCGTGTGTGTGTGTGTTGATGTTTCAGAGAAGCATACATAATGCCAATTCCAGAGAATACATAAGAGTACACAGAAGTGTTTCGAGACGAAGTGGAAAATTCACTCAAGGAGGGGCCTCGTAGCCTGGTGGATAGCGCGCAGGACTCGTAATTCTGTGGCGCGGGTTCGATTCCCGCACGAGGCAGAAACAAATGGGCAAAGTTTCTTTCACCCTGAATGCCCCTGTTACCTAGCAGTAAATTGGTACCTGGGAGTTACTCAGCTGTCACGGGCTGCTTCCTGGGGGTGGAGGCCTGGTCGAAGACCGGGCCGCGGGGACACTAAAGCCCCGAAATCATCTCAAGATAACCTCAAGAAGAAGGAGCTTAGTATAAATAAAGCACTTGAACCAGATGGAGTTTTACCTTGGGTGCTGAGAGAATGTGAACCTGAGCTGAACATTCCACTCCAACTGATATTCCAGGCATCATTGTGCACAGAAATCTTGGCAGATATATCGAAGAAGGCAAAAACTGTTTCAATCTACAACAATGGTAGCAGAGAAGACCCTCTAAATTATAGACCCGTATCATTAACTAGAGTGGTTTTCTAAACACTTAAAAAAATGGGTAGAACCCCTTAGAGAGTAATTATATAATAACAGACAGATAATATGGATTTAGAACAGGTTAATCCTGTCAAAGAAATCTACTTAGTTTTTTGACAAAGTCACAGGAATTCTATAGGAAAGAGATGGTTTAGGTTGACTGTATTTATCAAGACCTAAAAACCCCAACGTTGAATGTACTAGAACTCTAAGAAAGTAAGAGACCTAAGAGTGGTTCTGGGTAGCAGAGTGTCACCAGAGGAACACATAATGAACATTGTGAGAGAAGCGGATACGTCGCTTTCCAACTTCAGTTACGCTTTTAACTACTTGGACGGTGAAATACTAAAGAAACTGTTCACGACTTTTGTAAGACCAAAACTGGAATATGCAGCAGTTGTATGGTGTCCAAATCATAAGAAGAACACCAATAAACTACAAAAAGGTGCAAAGGCATCCGACAAAATGGCTTATGGGATTAATAAACAAGAGTTACACAGACAAGCTGGAGGAATTAAATATGTCAAAGTTAGAAGAAAGGACAACAAGAGGCAATATGATCACAACATACAAAATACAAACATGAATCAGCAAAACCGACAAAGAGGAATTCCTGAAACCAGCAACTTCACGAACAAGAGGACACTGATTCATGCTAAGGAAACATAGCTACAGAAATATATATATTAGAAAGTTCTCTTTTGCAAACAGAGTGGTAGACGATTGGAAGACGCTAAGTGAGAAGGTGGTGGAGGCCAAAACCGTCACTAGTTTCACAGCGTTATACGACAAAGAGTCCTGGAAAGACAGGACACCACTATCGTAGCTCTCATCCTGTAACTACACTCCAATAATTACCCTCTCCCTCTCCCCAATAACTACCCTGACTCCCTCTCACAGTTAAGTGAACATAAAACATTACCTTGTAAAACGTGATCGTTTAGGCCGGAGGAAGACAGAGAACCAGAGATGTTCGTCAGAGAGGCGGCTGTTGGAGTTGGTCTCCATCAAGAACCTGAAGGCTTTCTTCTGCTCTTCTCCCGCCACCGGTATAAGACGGTCAATCTGCAAAGTAATTTTACCACGTAAAGGACGATCTTAAAAAAAAAAAACACGCACACACACACACACACACACACACACACACACACACACAGGGGGCCTCGTAGCCTGGTGGATAGCGCGCAGGACTCGTAATTCTGTGGCGCGGGTTCGATTCCCGCACGAGGCAGAAACAAATGGGCAAAGTTTCTTTCACCCTAAGTGCCCCTGTTACCTAGCAGTAAATAGGTATCTGGGAGTTAGTCAGCTGTCACGGGCTGCTTCCTGGGGTGTGTGTGTGTGGTGTGGGGAAAAAAAAAAGTAGTTAGTAAACAGTTGATTGACAGTTGAGAGGCGGGCCGAAAGAGCAAAGCTCAACCCCCGCAAAAACACAACTAGTAAACACACACACACACACGTCGGACTGGGGAACAGTAACAAGTGGAGTACCACAAGGATCGGTGCTGGGACCAATTCTATTTCTTGTATATGTTAACGACATGTTTACAGGCGTTGAGTCCTACATGTCGATGTTTGCGGACGACGCAAAGTTGATGAGAAGAGTTGTGACAGATGAGGATTGCAGGCTCCTCAAAGAGGGCCTGAACAGGTTGCAGAGATGATCAGAGAAATGGCTACTGGAATTCAACACGAACAAATGTAAAGTTATGGAAATGGGACTAGGAGATAGAAGACCAAAGGGACAGTACACAATGAAGGGGAACAGCCTACCTGTGATGACGCGCGAAAGAGACCTGGGTGTGGACGTAACACCTAATTTATCTCCTGAGGCACATATAAATAGGATAACGACAGCAGCGTACTCTACACTGGCAAAAGTTAGAACATCATTCAGAAACCTAAGTAAGGAGGCATTTAGGGCGTTTTACACCGCCTACGTGAGGCCAGTCTTAGAGTATGCCGCCTCATCATGGAGTCCCCATCTGAAGAAGCATATAATGAAACTGGAAAAGGTTCAGAGGTTTGCAACGAGACTCGTCCCAGAGCTACGAGGGATGGGGTAAGAGGAGCGCCTGAGAGAACTGTGCCTTACGACACTAGAAAAAAGAAGGGATAGGGGGGACATGATAGGAATGTATAAAATACTCAGAGGGATTGACAGAGTGGACATAGACGAAATGTTCACACGGAATAGTAACAGAACGAGGAGACATGGATGGAAGCTTGAAACTCAGATGAGCCACAGAAATGTTAGGAAGTTTTCTTTTAGCGTGAGAGTAGTGGGAAAATGGAATGCACTTCAGGAACAGGTTGTGGAAGCAAATACTATTCAAAATTTTAAAACCAGGTATGATAGGGAAATGGGACAGGAGTCATTGCTGTAAACAACCGATGCTCGAAAGGCGGGATTCAAGAGTCAATGCTCGATCCTGCAGACACAACTAGGTGAGTACAACTAGGTGAGTACACACACACACACACACACACACACATATACAAACCCACCCACACACACACACACATACACACACACACACACACACACACACACACACACACACACACACACACACACACACACACACACACACACACACACACACACACACACACACACACACACACCCACACACACACACACACACAGCCTACCTATGTGAGTGCAGCTGGTAAGGTGCTCCAGTGGATAAGGGAGTACCTAAGCAATAGGAAGCAGAGAGTTACGGTGAGGGGTGAAACCTCCGATAGGCGTGAAGTCACCAGTGGAGTCCCACAGGGCACTGTACTCGGTCCTATCTTGTTTCTGATATATGTAAATGATCTCCCGGAGGGTATAGATTCATTTCTCTCAATGTTTGCGGACGATGCCAAAATTATGAGAAATATTAAGACAGAAGAGGACTGTTTGAGGCTTCAAGAAGACCTAGACAAACTGCAGAAATGGTCGAACAAGTGGTTGTTAGAGTTTAACCCAACCAAATGTAATATAATGAAGATAGGTGCAGGGAGCAGGAGGCCAAATACAAGGTATTATCTGGGAGAGGAAATTCTTCAGGAGTCAGAGAAAGAAAAAGACTTGGGAGTTGATATCACGCCAGACCAGTCTCCTGCAGCACATATCAAGAGGATAACATCAGCGGCATATGCCAGGCTGGCCAACATACGAACGGCATTCAGAAATTTGTGTAAAGAATCATTCAGAACTTTGTATACCACATATGTCAGGCCAATCCTGGAGTATGCAGCCCCAGCATGGAGTCCATATCTAGTCAAGGATAAGACTAAACAGGAAAAGGTTCAAAGATTTGCCACCAGACTAGTACCCGAGCTGAGAGGTATGAGCTACGAGGAGAGACTACGGGAATTAAACCTCACTTCGCTGGAAGAGAGAAGAGTTAGGGGGGACATGATCACCACATTCAAGATTCTCAAGGGAATTGATAGGGTAGATAAAGACAGGCTATTTAACACAAGGGGCACACGCACAAGGGGACACAGGTGGAAACTGAGCGCCTAAATGAGCCACAGAGATATTAGAAAGAACTTTTTTAGTGTCAAAATGGTTGAGAAATGGAATGCATTAGGAAGTGATGTGGTGGAGGCTGACTCCATACACAGTTTCAAGTGTAGATATGATAGAGCCCAATAGGCTCAGGAATCTGTACCCCTGTTGATTGACGGTTGAGAGGCGGGACCAAAGAGCCAGACCTCAACCCCCGCAAGCACAACTAGGTGAGTACAACTAGGTGAGTACACACACACACACACACACACACACACACACACACACACACACACACACACACACACACACACACACACACACACACACACACACACACACATACATACACACAGAAAGACCTGACTTGTCCCCTGAAGCCCATATCAAGAGGATAACATCAGCAATATATGCCAGGGTGGTTACCATAAGAACGGCATTTAGATACTTGTGCAAGGAGTCATTCAGAACTTTGTATACCACATATGTCAGACCAATCCTGGAGTATGCAGCCCCAGCATGGAGTCCATATCTAGTCAAGCGTAAGACTAAACTGGAAAAAGTTCAATGATTTGCCACCAGACTAGAGCCCGGGCTGAGAGGTATGAGCTACGAGGAGAGACTACGAGAATTAAACCTCACGTCGCTAGAAGACAGAAGAGTTAGGGGTGATATGATAACCATGTACAAGATTCTCAGAGGAATTGACAAGGTAGATAAAGACAAGCTATTTAACACAAGGGGCACACGCACTCTGGGACACAGGCGAAAAATGAGTGCCCAAATGAGCCACAGAGATATTAGAAAGAATATTTTTAGTGTGAGAGTGGTTGACAAATGGAATGCATTAGGCAGTGATGTGGTGGAGGCTGACTCCATACAGTTTCAAGTCTAGATATGATAGAGTCCAATAGGCTCAGGAACCTGTACACCAGTTGATTGACAGTTGAGAAGCGGGACCAAAGAGCCAGAGCTCAACCCCCGCAAACACAACTAGGTGAGTACACACACACACACACACACACACACACACACACACACACACACACACACACACACACACACACACACACACACACACACACACACACACACACACACATTAAAACAGAGGATGATAGTAGGAGGCTACAGGACGACCTAGACAGACTGAATGAATGGTCCAACAAATGGCTGCTAAATTTTAACCCGAATAAATGTAAAGTAATGAAACTAGGTAGTGGAAACAGGAGCCCAGACACAGGATACAGAATAGGCGATGAAGTACTTAATAAAACGGAAAGAGAGAAAGATCTAGGAATTGATTTCACACTAAACCTGTCTCCTGAAGCCCACATAAAAAGAATAACGTCTGCGGCATATGCGAGGCGGCTGACATCAGAACAGCCTTCAGGAACCTGTGTAAGGAATCGTTCAAAATCTTGTATACCACATGCGTAAGCCTTATCCTGGGGTATGCGGCCCCAGCATGGAGCCCGTACCTTGTCAAGCACAAGACGAACCTGGAAAAGGTTCAGAGGTATGCCACTAGACTAGTCCCAGAACTACAAGGTATGAGTTTCGAGGAAAGGCTCCGGGAAATGCACCTTACGACACTGGAGGACAGAGGAGTGAGGGGGAGACATGATCACTACCTACAAAATCCTCATGGGAATTGACAGTATAGCCAAGGATAAACTATTCAACACTGGTGGTACGCGACCAAGGGGACACAGGTGGAAACTTAGTACCCAAATGAGCCACAGGGACGTTAGAAAGAACTTTTACAGTGTCAGAGTAGTTAACAGGTGGAATGCACTAGGAAGTGATGTGGTGGAGGTTGACTCCATACACAGTTTCAAATGTAGATATGACAAAGCCCAGTAGGCTGAGGAATCTGTACACCAGTTGATCGACAGTTGAGAGGCGGGACCAAAGAGCCAAAGCTCAACCCCCGCAAGCACGAATAGGTGAGTACACACACACACACACACACACACACACACATATACATATTCCAAAGGAATTAGTGACATTAACCTACATCGATTCTAGGACACTCCCAGATAAAAATCACTCCAAACACACAGTTCACACAACTTAGATCTGACTTCAGAAAGACTCAAAGCACCTGCCAGTAAGCCATCTTTGTGGCAGCAGTTTCTTCATTATTCCAAATATCTTGCTATATAATGACAAATGGGTCTCCCTGTCTCTCTTTGCTGACTAGTCGTTGAATTCTGTCTTGTTGACCTTCTACACCGTTATGTCTTATGGAAAATTACTCTTTGTTTTTCCAGTAATTGCGAAGTATCTTATTGTATGGGAAATGTTACTCACTTTACTCTAAAATTAAGTTAGACCTAGTCCACTGAACACCTATTTAGTCCAGCCATTATTATGATGATTGGTCCAGACATTATTATGACGATTGGTCCAGCCATTATTATGATGATTGGTCCAGACATTATTATGATGATTGGTCCAGACATTATTATGATGATTGGTCCAGACATTATTATGATGATTGGTCCAGACATTATTATGATGATTGGTCCAGACATTATTATGACGATTGGTC